CATGGAATTTGGAGTATTATGTGCCCAAAGTATGTTAGAAAACAACATGAAAGTTGTTTAAGTCACTTTCGGGATTTCCACGCGGAATAGGTTTCATAAAAAGCGCTTTTCATGCCTTCCTGAAAAATGCGAGCTTTGAACGATTTAAGAAATTATTTTTTTAAATATTTTGTCCAAAAATGTTTCCCAACAAACTATACCAACCAATCTAAAACCCATCCCTGTCTGCGTAGCTTTTCTCGCCTTGTTCAGATGCAAATTTGTGAGTCAGGCCTTTGTCCCGGATCGCAAAAGTAGAGTCAGAACACTTTTATAATCCCTACGTCAACGTGCCCGGCCTCGGAAAATATTGGGATATTTTCTTGGCCTGTCGGTGGTATCGGTGGAGGATATTGAATGAGAGAAATCTGCCCGGGCTACCCACCCGGCCCTAAATTGGCGAACTGTTGGGCAGAAAAAGGCGATCACGGATGTGGAAAAGGAAAGGGAACTTATTTTGACATTTGCCCCCGGATCGAAACTCTTTCGATCATTTATTTTTATTGGCCTGGAGATCAATATTGGCATCAATTTTTGGAGAATTGGAGCTTTTATATAGATTTTTGAAACCTCTTAGCCCCTTGAGATCTAGACGACGTTTCCAGGCAAACTCGTTTCTCGTTTCTCAATTTAAATCGATTTGAGGATTTTAGCCCTATAAGACAGTTATTGACAATAATAACAGCTTGAAAAACTATTCTATAGCTCCAAAAACATACCATTAACATTTATATGATAAGAATAACGTGCCTAGTTTCGCCCCAAAAATGATGGGATTTGCACTTTGGGGCTCGCAGTTTGATATCAACAACGATTTCTGGCCTTTGCTTTTACGTTTCTCAGACGTCTAGAACTCCTAAAGCCTTACAAAGGCGTAAATCTTGCTAATAATGTCTTAAACAATATTGTAAACCATAAAAATTGTTTAGGAAGCCGAGCCATGTGGCTGTACCTCCTCATCCTTGTGGCGACACTTGCCGCAGTCGCCGCCCAGCCCAAGCCTCCGCCAAGTAAGTTAAAATGGCATGCGTATCTTTGATTAAAATTTTCAAAAAGGTTTGTCTTTAATTCTCTGGAAAAGATAAGCATATTTTCTATTGAATAAAAATTCTCAAGGACGCCCAGCAGCGAAGGGCGGCGTGAAAAAGCCGGGTATGACTAACACAGCTTATTAAGTTTTAGATTAACCAATAATATACTTTTTGATCGGTTAGCTTCTAATTTAAGATTTGTTACCTAACTAAGATTATCTAATTTTGCGGCATTGAGAGCTTCTGAATAGGCTTATAAATGATTTATTTCTGTTTCAGCAAACCAAGGAAATGGCGCGAACCCTGCGTTGGTTTGTAAGTTACTTATCTCTAATTTTAACTTACTAAATTTGAGTACTACTCCGTGATCTGCGCAAATTCCGGGCTGCTGGAGGCCATCCCCAAGCGCAGGCCTGGAAAAATCACGCTGTGAAATTTTGCCAATTCTTCCCGGGGCACCCTAAATGCAGGTAAAACTTTTTATAGGTTTTAAATTAACGAAAAATAGCTTTTAATAATCAATACGTCAAAATTATAGACGTTGATTCGCGAATTTAGTGGTGGAAAAACGCCTCCATTTGGCGCTGTTGGCGCGATGATGCAGGTGACGCAGAAGCGAGTGATGCTTCAAAGACAGCAGTTTCACAAGAAGCAGCAGAGGGCGAGGATGCAGCGGAGGAAGTTGAAGCGGATTCCAAAGTAGGCTTAACTCGCTCTGCTTTTTTTCTATTTAAAAAAATAGTATTAACTTTTTGAAGAGCTTCTTAACGCAATTTTTGGGGGCCTTTACGAGTGCTTTTTAATCAGCGTTTAAACCTTTAAACCCTGGCAATTTGGCGCGCTCATTTTTTTATGGCAAGTAAACATACCAGTGAAATTAGTTACTTGCTATTTTTTTCTGTAACAACACTATGAAAGTTTTGGTCAATTTCTGAAGGACTTTTTCCTTTGGAAAAGCTTTCGAAGCGCCGCAAACTAGCAGAGATTCTTTGAGTAACGATTCTGCTATTTTTTTTTGTCCGCTTCAGACTTCAAAAACGCAAAGATCCGCTGGCGAACAGTCCGAAAGATCTGGCGGACAAAATTCCGGAAGACGCCCGGCATTGGGGAAGGATGAAGGCGGAGCAGCGGCAGAAGGTTAAGGTACGCTTGTATACGTTGTACGTACCGTAGTATGCTGTACGGTACGCTATGAAGGGTATTTAGGAACCCAAACCTCGTGTTGAAGCCAATCCAAAACTTTAATTCTATTTCCATATCAATGTTTTTTATGTTTCTATCCGGATTCCACTTCTCGCTCCGATCTCCAATCAATCATGTTTTCCCAAAATGCGGGACAGAACTTAACGGTTCAGGGCCGTTTCCGAAATGTCATTTTCCAGCAACTCTGCGGCAAAATCAACTGCAAGGCCTGGGAGAAGCACAAGGCCAACAGGGATCGGCTGAAGGGCCAGGTACTTTTTCGGGACCCTGAGGAATTTGTGAACAACGTTGAGTTGAGACGGTCGAATACGGGAAAATTCATTTGCTGAAAGTTCTAAAATTTTTTAATCTTTAAAGCTATAGCTAATGCTATGCTTACTTTTAGATGAAAAAATTCCGGAAGCAAGTGGGAAAAACTGAGGACAAGGACGACGATGACGATGATGCATTGGAGTTGGAGCTGCAAAGAACCAGGCAGCTAAAGAAGGCTCTACTTGAAAAGGCCGAACTTGCAGCGGATGTAGGTTTTTGTATTTTTAGCTTCAGTTAGGACGGCATCTGTTTCTTCGCCCCCCCTCCCTAAATCACCTAAATTTTCAGGTCGAGCCTGCCGACGACGGCATCTTTGACTCCGATCTCCTGCTCACTACAGAACAGGTGTAGTATTTCGATAGGGTTACAACCTAAGTTTTTGAGTCCGAGTTCCTGCTCAACGAGCTCGACAAGGGAGGTGAAGAGGAGGAGGAGCCGCTGCCACCTGGGTTTGAGGCTACCGAGAGTCCAGAAGCTACTACTCCTGATCCAGACTATGATTCTTCATTGGCTGGGGAGGATAGCGATGATTATCATGTAAACTAGAGCTAGAGAGAGAGAGAGAGAGAGAGAGAACGCGAAAGAGAAACGAGCACGACATCGTCCTAACTTTAGGTAGAAGCCGATGATCCGGATGCAGTTGCAGCCGAAAAACCGGCCGACCCAGTTTTGTCGAGAAGGTTAGACTCCTTCAATTCTAAAAATTCCCAAAAACCAGCGAATTTTTAAAGAGCCATTATTCCCCGAATTATAGAGCCCGCGCCGCTCTATTCTTTGAAGAGCAATTCGTCCGGAAATGGGATATCAATCAACCGATCCAGTATACCTTCCACGAATCGCTAGGTCTGGAAATATTTTCGTGAAAAGCCGAATTCTAACTTTTAGAGGAAATTGATAAAAACACTGTTCGACAAGCCTTACAAACGATTTCCACGAATGTGCCCTGCCTTCGATTCCAATATATCCAAAGGCCGGTGACGAACGGATACTTCTTGTATTACATGAAGACGGATATGCCTGGATTGTGGGTTTTCTTGTTCCCTTAATCCAATATGTCACTTCCTAAGCTTAAAAATACCTTTAGCTGCGGTCTTTCCCGCATTGGAAAGGTCACTGGAGGTAACCCGATCTACTTGAGTTTCACCTGCAATGGGGTAAGTGATACGGATATGGTAGGTAGGTCGGACTTTAGAATGTCGGCGTCACGATTCACGAGACGATGCACTCACTTGGGGTTGATCATCAGCATATTCGAATGGATCGTGATAAGTGGATCAAGGTAACATAGAAGTGAGAGAGAGCGTGGGATAGAGAGAGAGTCACAGAGAGCCAGAGAGAAAGACAGACAGAGAGAGATAGAGTGAGAGGGAGCGAGAGGAGAGAGATGGAGAGACATAAGGGGAGCGCAAGAGAGAGAAAGAGAGAGCTAGAGATAGAGAGAGAGATAGAGAGAGAGGGAGAGAGTGTAGATAGATAGATAGATAGAGAGAGAGATAAAACCCATTTTAGGTCGATTGGTCCAACGTCAATCCTCAGATGTACGACGCTTTGGCTGTTTCTGATGCTAAAACTTTCACATCGTAGGTTTTGCGAGAAAATTTTGCCATTTTTTCAATTCCGTTTATATCTAAAGCTTGGCCGTAATTAGCAAAAATTGTACGGCATTTTTTTTAGGTACGGTGTCGCCTACGACTACGCCAGCGTCATGCACTACAACGCATACACGGCTGCTATCGATTACAATAAGCCGACGCTGAACCCGCTGGTAAGCTCTGAGCCTGTATCTTGAAGACAATCGGTTTTGCATTACCGTAATTCGTTTTTCAAACTAAAAAAGCCCTTGAATGCCATTAATGCCTAGGTAAACCCGGCCCAAAACATCCGCGTGATGGGCCAGCGTGACGCGATGACCCAGAGGGACGTCGAGATCCTGAGAAAAATGTATTGCAAAGCTGCCAGTAGGTCACGAAAAATCCGTCGACTAGATTGAATTTATGACAGCTTCCATTGAGCCTAAAACGTGCAGTATGTTAATTTTTAGGCTGTGTCGACACGAACATCTACTGCGGCGCGTGGGCGCTCAGCTCGTTGTGCACGGCGTCCGGGAACAGCGGTTGGATGCAGCAGAACTGCAGGAAGAGCTGCAATTTGTGCTAGGAGCGATGAGAGAGATGCTTGATAATAAATGTATTCAACCTGAGGAAAATGTAAAATAGCATATTCAAAAAAGCCGAGCAAAAATTAAATAACTAAAATTATCTAGATTTTTGCCTTTAACGTTCCTTCAAAGGATACTCGTGAGAGACAGAGACAGTGTGAGAAAGAGAGTAAGAGAGAGTGCGAGAGAGAGACGAGAGAGAGAGAGAGAGAGAGAAAGAGAGAGGAGATCGTGAAGCTTCACAGTCGTCACAGTTCTTTAAAACGCCAATGACCCCAACAGGTACTTCCGATTTTGTCACCTAGACTGTTGCCGCTCCGATTAATCATTTGATCAACAAACGTCCCAAATCCGCCACCCCTCCGATAAATCCAGGCGGTGATCAGCCCAATTTCGCCAAATGTTTTTCGATGCCTATCCCCCTCTTCCTCACTGTCGATTCATCAGCAAAAAGAGAGAGAGACGGCGAGAGAGAGAGAGAGAGAGAAAGAGAGAGAAAGAGAGAGAGTGTGTGAAAGAAGGAAAGACAGATATTTGGACAATTCGGCTAGTTGGGTCTCCTCAGTCTTTTTCCGTCTCCCACCCTAGAACCGCCCCATCGACGCACGTTCCTAACATGGCTGCGTAAGCTCAGAAATATATCTACATCCAGCCATACCTTTTCGAATTTTTTTGGTCTGGACGGTGACTCATCGCCCCTCCTTCTTTAAATATACCTAAAACTGCGTTGAAACTCTCACCATTCGAAAAAACCCGACAATGAGTTCACAAATTGCTAAAAATCCTTCAGAAACCACCTCAGTCTCAAGAATCGCAGTATTTTTCGGGATGCTGTTCATGTTAGCGGTTTTTGGCTGCGCGATGGGGCAGTGGAATGGTGAGTCGAGAATTAAAGCCGCAACTTAATATGAAAAATGAAAAAAAAACTCGATTTTCTTGGTTTCTCGTCCCAATTAGGGTCGGTCTTTGGCCGGGACATCGAGCTAATAGCGCATTTTCCATGGCTAATCCTCTATCGTAATTTTACGCTACAGATAACAGTTGGAAAAGGATTAAAAATTACGTGCTAACGAGCATAAGCTCATTTCAGGCCCGGGTGACGGCTCTCCTTGGGGAGAAGGAGGTCGTGGTGGATGGGGTGAAGGCAGAGGCCGAGGTTTGAGTATTGAAATTAAAATTTCGGATTTAAATTCAGGAGGCGGTCCAGAATTCGGGCCGGGACCCGGTGGTCGACACGGACATCATGGCCCTGGAGGAGGTGGTCCTGGCGGATGGGATCGCGGAGGCTGGGGTATACAGTTTTCTCGATTGTTCCTATTAAAATTTACAAAATGTATCTGTAATAATTAAGTGACCTTATCCCATGATATAGCAGCGTATCATCTCGTACTATTCGCGTAATCTTTAGGCGGTGGCCCACCCGAATTCGGTGATGGTGGTGGTTTTCGAGGTCCCGGAGGGCAAGGTGGACCTGGTGGATGGAATCGTGGGGGTCCAGGAGGTACAGCAATTATGCTAATTTATAATTAAATAATGTATAATTTATTTAGCTTAGGAATTCCTGTATTTTAGGCGGTCCAGGAGGGCGTCATGGTCACCAACCTGGAGACCCCGGCGCGGGCGGAGATGGTTTGGGAGGGCTTTTAGGAAGTCTAGGTATGAATTAATATGAAGATCTTAGAAACTTTTAGTTATTTGAAACTATAGATATTTACAGTATCTAAAAACACGGAAAAAATCACGATATTTTAGGTTTTGGCGGTAACCAGGGCCCAAACCGGGGTCGAGGACCGAATCAAGCGAATAATGGAATGCTAGGTAAGTACAGGAAATTTTTTAAAAAGTCCGGACCATGAGTTATTTATCTATTTATTTTATTCTTTTTAAAAGAACCGACTATTCGGACGACACAATGTGAATTTCGGGACCCAAAAACCTAAAATATTTCAGAAAATTTCCTCGGCCAAAGTGGCGGCTGGATCCCACCACCACCCCAAAATGGCCCCCCAAATTTCGCAGGAAATTTTGGCGGCCTTCCAATTGGCGCAACCAATCAGGGTCCGTTCATTTTTCAGGCGGCTTGCTTGGCTCATTGGGGATGGGTGGAAATGGGAAAGCGCCAAATGGGCACAATCAGCATCACACGCCGGGAGGACCCGGTGGTGCTCATGGTGGCGGAGGTGTGGCTTTTGCTTTGCTTTTTTGGTGTTCCGAAAATTTTTGCGCCGTTGTTACATCAGAGCATGCGAAAGCTTGGGCGAGAGTCAGAGAGAGAGAGAGAGAGAGCGAGAGTGAGAGAGAGAGAGAGAGAGAGAGAGCGAGAGCGATTTATAGAGTGAGAAAAATTGAGAAAGAAAGAGAGAGGTAGAGAGAGAGAGATAGAGAAAGAGACAGATAGAAAGTGAGATGGAGACGCCCTGAAAGAAAGAAAATTAGCTTTTTCGCAGCAAAAGTCGGCTTCGCAAGCAATTCTGCGGTTTTTGGCTCTGCACGTTTTGCAGTTTATTTTAGCGTAATTACCTTTAGCTTTCCAATTTTCGCTACATTACAGCTCGTTATAAAAATTCGATTTCGACAACACTAGCTTCAAAGCCAAATTCAGGGCTTCTCGGCGACCTAAGCCACCTCCTAAACCAAGGGGACCCAGGCCACCAAAGATGGCAAGAGCATGCGAGGAGATTCTGCTCCCAGTACCCGCAACACCCGAAATGCGCGTATGTCGTTAGTACGGTTTCGTAAGTATAGATCTTTAGACGAGGCGGACTACCGACATGCGCGCATTTCCCGAGTGTTGGCGCTGAAACAAATCTCCTCGCATCTTGCCATCTTTGGTGACGCAGATACACTGGTGAGGTAACCGTCACCAGCTGGCAGCCAGTATTGTCGAAGCTCGGAAACACATAACAGCTGTAATGCTAACGAAGGAAACTAAGATACGCTGTCGCT